ATTTTCTTAAACATATACATGCATGTGTGTGTATTTATATATACAAAATAATTATATACAGCACACACAAATATACTATGTAAACAGAGACTTTTATTTTGGATGCGATTAATCGCAATTAACTTTTGCACAGCCCTAATATATATATATATATATATATATATATATATATATATACATAGATAGATAGATAGATAGATAGATAGATAGATAGATAGATAGATAGATAGATAGATAGATAGATAGATAGATAGATAGATAGATAGATAGATAGATAGATAGATAGATAGATAGATAGATAGATAGATAGATAGATGGATGGATGGATAGATAGATAGATAGATAGATAGATAGATGGTAAAATGCACAGCTAATTACATTTAAATGCTCACAGTACTATATCCGGTTTGGCACTAGTATATATTGAGGACAAGACGTTCGCCCTCTTTTTATAGCCCGGACAAGAGCTATAAATTTGCATTATGCAAAATTTTAATACAGCATTGAAAGGTTTTTTGAGTTGATGATTTGGGCTGCCATATGCTTATGTGCTAGCAGGTCCTGTTGCATGCTAGTTAATGAAGTTTTATTGGCAGGATCAGCAGGGTTTCGATCCTTGCATGGGGCAGAAGGCCAGGTAAAACAGCTGTTGGTCATACCGTCTCAATTCAGGAGAAAGTAAAAAACATTTTGTTAATGCCATATTAGTCCGTATGCTGCTTGTCATTCAACAGCAATGTGATTATAATTTCAAATGTTTGTTTATGTTATTATTATTATCATTAACAATATAATATTATATATTTGTGTATATTATATTTTAAATATTATATAAAGAATGTAATTATTTATCGTAATATGTATTATATTAGTATTTTTTATTAAACATTTATTTTAGGTATCAGTTATTGTTTAAATGTTTGTGCTTTTATACGGTTGTATTTATTTGCATGCTTACCAGTGGGTCTTGTCTTTAGACACAAGAAGGTTCTGCAGTCTTAATAGTGATTTAACCGTGCTCACTTTGAGGTCACTGACAAAACAATCCATTATATTTTTTTAAAATCCTTTTTGCCATCTTGACTTGAACTCTCTTGTTTGGTATTGACATTGATAATAGAGAACCTTCAGACTTCAGAGTCCATATGGAAACCATAAATAGCAATCCTTGTGTGTACTGTATGTATTGCTGGACTAAAAATAACTTTTTTATTTTATTATTGCTGGTTCAGATGAGAGAACATACCTTTTCACAGCCCCTTAGCTGCCAGCAATGTCAGGCACACCAGCTATGCAGAGCCCGCGTCCGGCCCCGGCCCGGGCACAATCGCTGCTTTTAGAGCCCTCTTAATTTACTTAGGATGGGCTCGCAGCATATGGGAGTATTCACAAAAGCCAACTGATGGAGAGACAAAGAAATTCCAGTATTCGGACATTAGGGGGGGAAAAAAAAGTCATTTAAATTTAGTCATAATGGTTCAGCTGTCCCATCCAAAGGAAGAGAAGAGAATGGAGTTTTTCCCTCTTTTGCCCCCTTTCTTTTTTTTTCTCCTCTTCTTTCTTCCTAGTGTGTGCCTGGATCTTTTATCTCTCTTATTCACTTGGGACTCTTCAAAGTAACAAGCTGCCCTCTCTTCCCTTGGTGCTGGACTTGGAACTCAAATTAGGGACTGCTTGATTAGGGGGGAAGGGGGGGTTGGCCTGGGGTGGCAGAATGGCTGTTGGACAGAACAAATCGCACCCCTACAAAGTGTCTTTTATCTGGTGGCCCCTCTCTTTGACAGCTCCCTCTCTCGCTCATTCACTGCAGTCGCAGTTGTTTCTCTCTGGTATTCGAGTTGGACATTGTTGGAAATGCCATCCAATCTGGTTTGTGACAGTGAAGGGAGAGGAAGGTAAATGTTCTGTTGATGTCGCCTCTCTTGCATATTCTTGCCCATTCTTTCCTTTTCCCCCTCAGCCAAAGGTCCTGAGTGGAATCTTATGTCCTCGTTGATGAATTAGATAAACCAAACCTTCTCTCGTTATTTAAAATATCCTGGCCAGACCCTGTCAAGCCAGAACGACAATGCAAGGAGACACCTTTACAAGAGCAGCCAGACTCACTGCCGTTAAGAGCAATGCAATATGCACCACTGCTCTCTTTGTCAGAACTCTGCAGACAGATACAGAGCGAGCTCCCCCCATGCTCCCCTGCCAATAAAAGTTTTATCTGCTTTTAAAAGAAATCTATAATTCAATGCAGAAAGAACATGATTTTCTTTACCAAAACAGGACAAAATATGCACAATTCTCATGTAATTCTCATAATTGAGTTGTATCCATATATATATATATATATATATAATATATATATATATATATATATATATATGAAGAGTTCAGATGCAAAAGCCTCTAAATGCCATTTGAAATTTTCTTCTTTAATGATGATTTTTATCAAACTTGTATATTTAAGTTCAGTAATTTCACTTAAATGGCAATGATAATTACCTATTAATTGTTATTTAAGTGAAATTACTGAACTTAAATATACAGGTTTGATAAAAATCATCATTAAAGAAGAAAATGTCAAATGGCATTTAGAGGCTTTTGCATCTGAACTCTTCATATATATATATTGTGCACAAAATTATAGCTATTACATAATGAATAACAATACAAATATATATATTTATTTATATTTATATATATATATATTTGTATTGTTATTCATTATGTAATAGCTATAATTTTGTGCACAATACCATGTATAATATTGTTAAATATTAGCCCGATTGTTTTCTATTCAAGTGCATATCTTTCAAGACATTCAACTTCCATTATCCACTGAAAAGTTTTCTGGTTTAGTCAGAAAACAATGAGGTAGGACCAGAACAGGGCAGAAATATGAGGAGGGAAAAACAGGGGTGAGAGAGAAGCAGGAAGACATTTTGGTAGCGGGGTGGGGTGCTAGGGGTGAGCTCTGGACAATCGAGCCGGGGACGAAACAATGGAGCCTCTGTTAGTATGCTGCTGGTGTTTGTGCAGACCAGCACTGTGCATACACAGAACCTGTGCTGGCTCCTCCACAATCTGCGGCCTCTCTGTAAAACTTGGCTACTGTAAAGCGCATGCAATTGTTAACCCCCCCTCCCCCCTCTCTCTCTCTATATATATATATATATGTTTGTATGTTTGAAAAATGATAATTACGGAATGTATCCTTATGGAGGTGTAGTCCTGACTGTTGTATTTCAGTACCGAGTGCAGCGGATTGTGTGATTGAAATGTGTGATGGAGTTGGAGGGCTGTCCAGAGAGCTCCTGAGTGGGCAGAATTGAGTCCAGATGTTTGCCCCTCAGTAGGATATGAGTCCTGTCCTCCCCCAGAGGCCCCTGAGATTCTCTGTTGGGAGGAGGGGCAAGTTATGCTATTTGACATCCAACAGCCCTTCTGACTTGGTGAAGTGTCTTTCCCTTCGTCCGCTGAGAGATGCTCCGCCGCCCCACCTCCTTCTGACTCCCCTTCTCTTTCCGAGCGTGCACGGGGGCAGATGTCAGTCCCGACAGCAGCAGCCTCTAAATACAGCCGTTCATGGCTCAAGCCAGAGGTTAATAAAATCGGTACTAAATGTATCAATTTTACAGATAAGCCATTCACAACAAGTGTAGTCTGCACAATAAAAAGTCAATTCAGACCCAAGGAAGCCACATGCAGTAGCAGTGAATGGCTGCTTTTTAGGTATCTTTTTTGAGAGAGAGAGAGAGAGAGAGAGAGAGGGGGTAAATGGAGAATTGCAGCCTCTCTCCTTTATTGCTGCCGCGCAGGCCCGGCCAGTAAATTGCTCTGAATGGGGGGTGGAGGTTGACAGGCCCTATTAAGACAAACGGTCTTCCTCATCAGAGACATAAAATAAATCAGGTGTTTAGTCAAATTAAAATAGTTGAACTCGAGCAGGCCCCAGGGAGCCGCTTCAGAGAAACTCAAGACAGATGTGGCCAGAGGAGCACAGGAAGACACCCAGGAAAGAATTTAACACTGAGCTGGCTGCTAGCCAAGCCAATCGTACTGTTCTCATGCAGCAGCAGGTTAGCCTACTGTCCGGAGGCAGGATCACTTAGCATTGATTAGCTTAAGGTACAGCGCAGCCTCATGGGAGGGCGTGCGGGAGGCATGCACATTTTCTGGTGTGATTATGCTTTGGGTAGAGACACAAGAGAGATAATGAGAGGATACAGAGGTGACGGTGACCCTGTTTGCGAGAGGCGCGTCAGCTCCGAGGTGTTTGTGTCTACTCCTTCCTTAATGAGAATTGAGAGCAGTCATTACATGGCAGCGCCTCCAGTCATGCGACTGTCGCCAGCACGCACGCACACTTGCCCTGTATTGTCTGTCACTAATCTGCCACCTTCACTCGTTTTGTGACAGCTCCTCTTATTTAATAGGAACAATTCCATTCCTCACCATCTCTCAGAGAAGCCGTGATCACCAGAAGTGGAAAGAGAGAGTGAGGGACTCGCGACCTTCGCACTTTTATTGAAGCCTTAGACTTGGGCTGTTTGGATGATACCATTCTCGGCTTTGAAGGAGCTAGAGTTTCCGTCCTGGACCGCTTTCTGTGGTCTTCGGGAATTCTCTTGACTGATACGTACTGCATTCGTTCAGATGCTCAGCATTTGCTGGCTCTGTCCTGCCGTCTCAAGAGAGAGAGAGAGATTTGCTGATCTCATGAGCGTCTCAATTGTGGGAGCTTTTTATATCTCTGATGCGCAGATCAATTAACAAGGGTTTGTTTTGCAGCACTTGCTTTGTTTGCTGTTCTGTCTCTAGGATAACTGACCTTTGCATTTATATAGAGACTATATTTAAGAGGTGAGGGACATCTGGCTGTTGCAACATGATATGTAAACCTTTTCTTTTCACTGCTGGGAGAGTGTACCGGGTCATGGGGATAAGAGGAGTTTGTTTCTGTTCTTGCCTTTGGTTTCTTTCGTTTGACTGCATGTGTTCTGTCTCAGGTACTCCAGAAAGTCTTGCAGAGAAGGAGCGACAGCTCTCCACCATGATCACACAGCTCATCAGCCTACGAGAGCAGCTCCTGTCCGCCCATGACGAGCAGAAGAAACTGGCCGCCTCGCAGATGGAGAAACAACGTCAGCAAATGGAGCTGGCACGCCAACAGCAAGAGCAGGTGAGAATGTGCACACCAGGGTGGAGCGTCATTTAGAAGTCAAAAGTCAGAATTCAATAAATCAGAATTAAAGTCTGTTCCAGAATCCGAATTTCATTTGAATTGAAAATCAATTGCAAGCAATTGCAACTGCAAGTTTTAACTAAAATAGCAACATCTGAATTGGTTTAAATTTGTCCTTAGTTTGTATATATCATCATATTTAATTTACTTTTAATTTAACCATTTTAATTAATGTTAGTGGATCAGTGTGGGAGAACTCCATTTCCCAGAATCCATTAAATGTTTTGGATTTCAATTCAATTAAATTCCTAATTAAATGAAATTAAATTTACTTTTAATTAAAAATTAACTTCCTGTCATTTCAATTCAACTTGAGTTTAAATTCATAACCATTGTTTAATGGTTCATAATATATGTGTCCTATAAACCCAGTTGTTTTGTTTAAAGTTATCTAGTGAAGATATTATCAGCCATGCATCACATATTCTTTTTTTACAGCCTCATTTATCAGAAGCAGCATTTAAAACAAGATTACTCTTATTTGCTTTTAAATTGGTAATGAGTCCTTCTACTTAGCAATTTAATATTTTAATTTAGTTTATGGCTTGATTTTTCCTTGATAAATAAGGCTCTGTGGCTGTGAGGATGGATGCACAAAGTAATGTTTATTGTACGTAATTGATAAAATATGGAAGCACGTAAATTGGTAGGGAAATTGATCACTATTAATTCAAACTTTGCATGAGAAGCATGTGTAGCTCAATCAAATGAGGCGTACTGAAGGTATCAGCAGCTCATGAGCTCCGTTAATGTGGCTCAAGATACATCTCCATCTTCACAGTATTTTTTTATGGTGAAACCATATAATTGCTGTCAATTTATTATGCAGATGAATAGGTGCATATTAATGTGGTGTGCGTTTACCTGAAGCGGATACGCTCATTTCTGAATTTGTCCTATTAATGTCACCCGACTCTCCAACTTTATGGGAATTGTATCTTCATTGTATGCTCAGCTGATTTTAATAAACGGTTATTGCAGGAATTTACAGTTTCGCAAATGTTCAAGAATGCATCCCTGTCCATTAATGACAAACAAAATGGAGGGAGAGGATAGAAAAGAGCTAGAGAGAAAGGGAGAGGGAGGTAGGCAAGGAGGGGGAGCATGAAGTTAGGATGTCATTTAGCCATCCAGACACGACACAGTAATTAACTGTTGACACTAGTGAAGAAGCCAGCACAAATTAATCCTGACACATTTGCAGACGGGTGAAATCTTACAGTGAACACTTTGTAATTATATTTGAAAATGAAAATTAAATGACACTTAAACCTAGGCTGTCAGGCTAACTGAGGAGGAGGAATGGGGGGAGTCTGCAGGGGCTGGGAGAGATGGAGAGAGCGAGAGGATGCAACGCGCTTAACGTCGAGAGCCCACCCTTGGGCAGACCCGACCACTCCTAGGTTGCATAAACATGCCAGTCTTTCACCCTTTGGCGCATCGCCCCGGCCAGGCCTGGGGCTGGGTATAATAAACATTAGCAGGCCTCTGATTACAGTCATTAGGGTCAATTGGTGAACGAGAGATGTTACCCACAAGCTCTGATTGCATATATTAACTGTCTGCTTAAATACATGTTACAATAAATCCAGTTGCTCTCTCATAGACTATGATAACGTACATCCTTTAATGTTTTAGGCCAGGGTTAAAGGTTTCTGACGGCGTTCAGCTAAATGAATCCCTTTGCTTTCGCAGATTGCCAGACAACAGCAGCAACTTCTGCAGCAACAGCACAAAATCAATCTCCTCCAGCAGCAGATCCAGGTCAGTGCTTGACTTTCACGTCTTGTCCGCTTCTGTCAAAAACCGTTACTTTGTTTTTAAAACTGTCATCAATCACGTTACAACTGTCACCAATCAGGATAATTGGCCAATGTTAGTTCGGAAGGGGCTATAGATGGGTGGAATAATTATCACTCCCTAATTAATGAAGGAAGAGAAAAAAAATAACTGAAATGAGAGAAAGCTTAATGACACCAAGTGGTGCCTGTATGCATGTTTTGTGGAAAAGTGCCCTTAGGGTTTGAGACATGAAAGCCGGTGATAAATGCCTCTGAAATTACACCATCCCAGTGCGGTGACGTGGCAGCGGCTTTGGAAAAACAGCACAGGCGCTACTGTTAGCCCCGTTTCCCATTGTCCAATATTGGAAAAATCACTTTGCGTTCATTTGCTTGAACTTCGTTGCGGCCGACAATCCTGTAAACACACCGTGTTGACACGTAAATTGCACAAACCTTGCCTTTTGCAAATATTTGCTGCTTGCTTAAGTCAGTTTGAGTGATCTTTTGAAGGTCTCTCTTTATAAGTGTGCTTCAAGAATAGGCTCATTGAAAGTTTGCTTTTTGCTTAAAATAATTGAATTGGATTAGTTGCAAAGTACACACTGTGGTCACCCAAATCCGTTTTCTCGCCACAAAGTGGATTGCACTTTTTCCCCCCTCCGTCAAGCAATTATGTGAAATGAAACAAAATGGGAGAGGGAGAATAAAAAGAATGCTTACAAGAGTGCCATAAATAAATGTGACGTATATGCGAAGAAAGATGCAGCAGAAGAATGAGTGTGCCTTTGTGAGGGGGCTGTTGGTTTGTGTGGTATGCGGTGCTTCATCAAGCAAGGTTAGCAGACCACCCAGTCAGATACATGGACGTACACAAGCTGGTCAGTGGCAGTGGTCAAGGTCTTTACACACACCATACACACATAAAAGCCAAGGGCAATGAGAGCAGCCCATGCCTGGAGATGCTTTCTTCCTCTTATTTTTTTCCCCCCGCTTGCTTTCATTGGAGACAAGTACAACATTCCCCACTCCTCTTTTCTCTCCTACATTCACACCCAATTCACCATGATGTCAGCTGGTCTTCTCTCACATTTTTCATCACTTTATACACACTTGATTCATTCTTTACCTCTCAGTCCTCACTTTTCATGTCTTATATCTTCCTGTGCATTTGACATATACTTCAAAGCCGGTAAGCTTGTGGCCCTCACAATGGAATCCAGGAGGTTTTCTTCTCAACGCTGTACCGTTCATTGTGAGGTTAACCATCTGCCTTGCCTACTTTCTCTGCTCAGATGTGTCAGGTAAAAACAAACCACTGTCTTATTTACACAGCCCGAAGCACGACAGATTTATAGCTCGGCAGTAAAACGTAAAACCTCTGTCAAGTGAAGTGCACTTCTCAATAGAAAGACCCAATCTGTTAAAGGCTTGTGCTGTTGAAGAGCCCACAGAACTAGCCACTGTGCTACTAACGCCTGTTATGCGCACTCCACCACGCCGTGTGTGTGTGAGAATCAGCGCTCTTCACTTTCCATAGACAGGCCCCTACATGCTTACTGTGTGTTCAGACGGTAGCAGTGGAGTAAGAGTTTGTGGGAACAGTTTAATTACATTTTCGAGTGGAAACTAGCGACTGAGCTCATCCTAAACAGCTGGGCTACTCTATATTGTCATTCCTGCAGTGCACTGAAGAGTAGCTAACATAAGTAGCTATGTTAACATAACTTTTTTTGGCAGCATGACATGACCTAAGCTGTCAAAATATTATAGCTTTTACTCTAAAAAATAGAGATACAGCATAATAGTTTACTGTCATATTGCATTGTGTGCTTGCACCACCTTTCAAAAAAATTAGGGTCTTTCTAATAAAGTTGAACAAGAACACATTGAATTGATCAAAAGTGACCATAAAATCATAAATAATTATTTTGAATTTTCTATTCATTAAAAAAATGCCTATTGAGAACCAAATCAGCATATGAGAATGATTTCTGAAGGATCATGTGACACGTGAAGACTGGAGTAATGGCTGCTTAAAAATAAAAATAGAAAACATGTTTTAAATTCTAATAATATTTCAGAAAATTACTTTTTTACTGTAATTTTTATCAAATAAATGCATCATAGGTGAGCTTAAGAGACGTTTTTAATGTATCACAGTTTTCAAACACAAAACGAAAGTAAAGTACACAAACATACACAAAGACCAAATAAAGTCTAGGCCTGGTTCTCTTTCGTCCTTCACTGTTGTTGCTCCTTTTATCCTCCTGGAGCTCTTCCATGAGAAACTCGAGGCTGGGGTGTCTCATTAGCACTCGTGCCATGAACTCGGTCCGTTCCCAAGGCTCTCGGTCCCGCCTTGCCACAATGTTGTGGACAACTTTATTAGATCCATGTCATACAGTGTGATTTGTAATGATCTTAATGGTCTGTAGCATGCATCAAACACAAGAGACAGTCTCTAACTGCTGCTGTTACACTAGGTTCTGATCACAAATTGTAAGACCAGATCACAACCAGAAACGGGCACCAAGAAAGTCAGGCTTAGGTTCTGTATCTTATTATGCTTTTTTATCTTCTCTGACTATGTTTTCATATATCATTAGCATTGCCTCCCTTTGTGACCCATTTAATTTCCATCTCTAGAGGCCATGGCTTGTCGTAAAGAAGAAGAAGGGAAAGTCGTAAGACAAGAGTACGATGCGATGGGAAGCGAGATGAGGAGGCTTGCTAATGCAGTTCTTTGGCACTCTGTTTTCATTAGAGCTAGCTCTACAAAAAATGCCCAGTGCTCTTAATATACAACAGCTTTTGAGTTAATTAGTACTCCAAACAAGCTCTTCAGCCTTCGTGTAGAAGACGTAAAAGTTGAGTGGTAAAACAGCATGCAAGGATTGGGTTTCCCCGCTGTTAGCATGGAGCGTGTGCATGGTTTAAAGAGCCAGTCTCCCCATCAAAGCGCTACTGTTTTGGCTCACATGCTAAGCGGCGCTTTAGACCTTTATTGCTGATGTAACTGATCACATCACTGGATTCTGTAAACGGGACTGAATGGGGTCCAAATAAAACCATCAGGCATGTAACAGAATACAGCGCTGGCTCGGAAAACCAGTTCTGGTTTTCTCCAGAGTTGTTTGGCACTGTCCGTTGCCCAAATCAAACCACTTTTAAATTGCCCTTCTCTCTGTTTTGTTTTGTACAATGAGCTCAGAGAGACTGAGAGATTGAGACTTTGTCTTTTCAGGAATTACAATGTCACTTGTTCTAAAGATAACAGATGTTTAGATTACAGCGTTAGAGGCTTATCAGAACTTCAAGCTCAAGGTTTTACTTTCTTATTTATTTCTTTAGCCAAAAGCCTCTTGTTGAGAAATTTCATATGGCAACTAATTCCGTCCAGGGACCGGATTACTGTTATGTGACTGAAGCACAAACTTAAAAGCACCATCAGAGATTGAAGGAGAGGCTTAGGAACAATTAAAAACAAATGTCGAAGTAAATCTTGATCTGAAAGAGAAAATGTGTTGCTTATGTAAGACAAGTAAAGCCGCACAAATAAGAACATGTAAAAGCCACCGCCTCCAACAGGAAGGCAAGCCTGTGTTGTTCAGTATTAATCAAGCCGAGTGATTCGTGTTCCGCTCCTTGACGATTCAACTCTCTATTTTATTCGCCCTCGTACCATTAAAATCAGCTGGAATTGTGGATTGCTTTCTGTAGGAAAGAAGTATCATATGTGAGAGATCTTTAATATCTTATTTCGTTATCCTTGACAGAAATGAGCTCGTTCGCTCAGTTGTTTAAAAACCCCTTTCCATTTCTCTTTCTCGTTTCAAATTGTTTTATCCTTCTTTTGTTCTCTCTTCCTTTTTGAGTTTCTTGGGCTAAAAACCAAAGCAACACACTGATGAATGAGTAGTCAAACAGTACTAAGTTCTTGACCAAAAGTTTGTTTAACTCACTTTAAAATCACTTTCCTATAATTTCCTTTTCCCACTTTCTTTTCCCTACGATGATGACATAAGTCCATGTATACGATGTTAAATCACAAAAAAAAGCTTTCTTTTTCCAAGCGGTTGTTTGGAGAGACTGTTCTATGTTCTCTGAGCTCATACATCTCTTGCACTTAATACTTATGATTAAAGCTGCTGTACTTGGTCGAGATTTCAAAGGCCTGTACATGTGTGCATGCGCATTAGGTGCTGTTGTCTCTCTCTGGGCTCTGTTTTGCGACGGCAGCTTTAAATTCCCAGGCTGGACTCGGAGATGATCTGGGCCGGGGTTGACGTGCATCTCTAGCAGAGACTTGGCTCGAAACCAGGCATTCCTGCACGCTGGGGCTGGTACGATGTGAGCTGAGGTGACGTAGGGAGGAGAACACACAGGTGGAGGCAGGCTCATCTTATTGTATACACACACGCACAAACATCAAGAGAAGAATGATTTCCTCAAAGGTCAGCGTGAACTTTAGATACTGAGTCGAGGCGAGGCTGCGGTGTGTTTGAGGAAAAATTCCCGTTGAGATTAAACAACTCTTTCTCTATGAGAATCCCATTATGGTGCTCATATACTGTCTCTCATATCACAGCAAACAAGAGTTTATTAGCTCCGATCTCCCTACTCGCACGGCGCGGCTATGAGAGACAGAGAGAGATAGTCACACTGAGCTGTGTTGTCAACAGACAGAGATGCTGTTTGTCCGTGTAGGGCCATTGTTGTGCCGACGGTCGCTTCCTGTGTTTTAAAGCAGACCGCCGGTTCAAACACTCTGTCATTGTACAGGCCTGGTTCTACTTATCTAACCCCAGGGCTCCACTTCCTCTTGCTGCTCGACTGAGAGAAACCTCCACGTGGCTGTCTTCCGCTGTCCCCCCCCCCCTCTCTCTCCCCTCTTTCTCCTGCCAGCACCGGCTGGATCACACAGACCTCTTGCTCTCCATCTCTCACCCTCCTCTTGCAATTGACACTTCTTGTCCACAC